CCGTGCCAGCGGGCTGTCCCCAGACATTGGGGAGGGTCACCAGTGCCACCCCATGATCTGCCCCAGCCTCCTGCCCCCCAGAAGGGCCAAGCTGGCCCTGGTGGCCGGGGGGTCCGTGTCCTCAGGGGGGTCTGGGTGTCCCTTTAAGCACCGTGTCCCCCTGCCAACTCCGGCAGCCTGCACCTTCCAGTGCCACCACGTGACGAGTTGTTTGTGCGGCGTCCTCAGCCCCTGCCAGCACGGGCAGGCAGCAGGATCCGGCCGGGCCACGCTCCCGCAGCTCCCCTGCAGGGACCCCAGATTGCAGTCACCCTCCTGCCCCCCTGCCCCATCCAAGGGGCTGTGTCCCCAAGTGTCCCCGAGGACCACCAAGCCAGCAGAGGGGAGGCACAAGCTTCCCCCCACGCCCCCAAGCACGGGGTTTCATGGGGCAGAAGCTTTTTGAGGGGGGTGGTGCCCTGGTTGAGGGGGTGCTGAGCCCCTCTCCCTGCGTGGGGTGGTGTCGCAGGGCACCCTGTGTGCCCCCACGTGGGGTCCCCGGGGTGTCCCCTCTTTTGGGGGAGCACGGGGTGAGGGGTAACCAGCTCCCTCCCCAGGTACGTCCAGAGCCTGCTGGACATCATGGAGTTCCTCGAGAGGGACCCCGAGGACCAGACCACCCTGGGACAGTAAGTCGGGGGGTGACAGCGTGCCTGTGACACCCCTGGTCCCCCATCCCAGGGCGTCACCTCCTCCCAGGCTCACACTGGTGAGAGGTGGTGTCACCGAGGGGCCCTGGCACCCTGCGCCCTATATGGTCCCCAAACTGCCCCTCACCCCCCTGTGCCCGGTGTGTCCTCCTGCCACCAGACTCTGCTCCGGGTTTTCCCTGGTGCTACCAGCTCCTGGGGAAACCCGGCCTGGATCGAGGCTCTGCCCGGACCGGGTGCCCCCCAGTTCCCCCACTCCATCCCCCTCATCAGGTTCACGGACGCCCTGGTCACCATCCGCAACCGGCACAACGACGTGGTGCCCACCATGGCGCAGGGGGTGATCGAGTACAAGGAGGCCTACGGGGACGACCCCGTCTCCAACCAGAACATCCAGTACTTCCTCGACCGCTTCTACCTGAGCCGCATCTCCATCCGCATGCTCATCAACCAGCACAGTGAGCGCCTGGGGTCCCCGGGGGTCCCCTGCCCCGGGCAGCCCCTGCCCCAGCTGTCCCCATCAGCCCTGGGCATCCCCCCCCCCCCAGAGCGTGTCCCCCCCCAGCGCTCCTGTCCCGAGTGTCCCCATTCCCTGGGTGTG